GATTTGAGGATTTTTCTTTTCAAGCTGGTGTAAAATCAAATCAAATCAAAATATTTTATTCAGCATGAAATTATTACAATTTTTTACTTAACGTCATGAGTCTACTATCAGTTCGGAAAGAAAAAGCCTCAGACCTGAGAAGAACTGGCGAAAGAAACTCAGCGGGACCAATATATTTTCTTAAAGTTTAATCTTTTTTTAGTTAGATGTATCCCCCCCAACGTGCGTTCACCTTGTCGTGGTGGGGGGGGGGGGGGGCAGTAGTGCCCGGCGCGAAACCAAGAAACGCACAGGAAGGTGGCCCGCTTCGCTCGTGGGCGGTGGGAGACAGCCCTCTTCGGAGGGCGGTGTACCATGCGGGTTGCTCCTGGTACTTCCCTGATAGCAGAGTGGACCTTGGAGCAACCCGTGGTTGTTGTGGTCTGCTTCGGTAGACCTGCCGTCGGGGCGTCGTAGTTGAATGCGTAAGCGATCCTGCGACGCCCCATTAAGACGGGGGAAGGTTTTAGTGGGTAGTACTAGCTTCGCCGGTGAGTCCCACACTTCGTGCGTAAAAGCATTTTCCAACGTTAAGTGTTAGATGTAAGACTTTTAGTAAAGAATTGTAATATTAAAATATTTTAAATTTTACTCTTATCGAATATGTAAATGGTTATTTTTCCGTTTGCTTACATTTTGTTTCATGGCTGAATAAATCCGAAGAGCAAGTTATTTTAAGCTCAAGAAAAAAATACTGTATCGAGTTTTTTATAGTATTACATATAAAATCCTTTTTATAATTTAAATAATAAAACGTTTACGGCAGAATATCTGTAATGTAAACGTTTTATTATTAGTTCCTGCTCTTATTTTCTTAATATGGTTTATCTTGAGATGATCGTCGTTATTGCTAAGACATTTTTAAAAGGAGCTACAATCCAAGAAAGATAAAGAAAGATACATGAAACGATTTAAATTTTAAAGCAAATGAACTGTATATTTACAATATTTAATAATTTAGTCTCTAAATATTATAAAAAATAACTCATTTTTTTGTTTACATAAAAACAATAATGCCATAAACTATCCATACTAATATTATAAATGGAAAGTGTTTATTTGTCCTTCTTTCACGTCGAAACGGATCGATGGATTGGTGTGATTTTTTGTGTGGAGATAGTTAAAAAGAGATAGGAAAAAATGACCTTTTGAAGAGTGTACTTTTCACAGTGCATAACACTTATATCATTTTTAATTACTTCGTTCACATGTGTATCAGTCTTAATTTGTAATCAACCACTTACTGGCTTCCGATTAGCTTACTTACTTAAATAACTTTTGTGATGACAACATGGCATCAAGGAACTGGTCTGATATCGGAACCGGAAAGTGGTCATTTAAGCTCTCCAACTGCATAGCTTCTTATATAAGCACTCGTAGAAGCATAAGCTTGTTTTTAAATACTTTGCAGTTTAATTTACTTTATTCAATAATAAGCTATATGTTATTCCAGTTCATAGTCTATCTGTATAAAAAATCACTCAAATTCTTCCAGCCATTTAACATAAAGGAGTAATAAATAAACGCACACATACAAACTTTCGTATATACAATAGTAATATAACATATACTAATGTATATTACTTTAGTTTTACATATTCCTACGTCACACTATACCCATTGTGGAATAGTAAGGAACAGAGTGTCAAACGCTTATCTCTTTGATATCATCCATGTTATCATTTTCTTCATTCGTGAAGCTTCAAAAATCGTCTAAGATCTCTAATTTTAGTATTCCAACTGAATACATCTTTCGAAATAGGATTTAAAATTATCTTTCACATTCTTAGAAAAAACCATTTAAGAATATTTTTTAAATTTTAGTTTAACATCAATTTTATTTTATAAAATTATTTACCTTATATTTTACAGTTATACGAAATTGTTTCACAAGACTGACTCATTGGGAACGGAATCCCTCCACTTAGACCTGAGTCACGCGTTCCCGGTAAAAGCTTGTTTATTTTTTTTTGTAATACCAATTGGTAAATCGTGACAAAGACTTAACTGTATTATGCAATTTCACGATGACACAGATAAAATATCATTTCTTATAATTTTCGAGTGTTGTCTGCGACAGCATATTGTTAGTATAAAGTATGTGTACAATAAATTATAGTACTTGTTTAATTTTATATAATTATTAAAGGAATACAGGTTATTTAAACTTATTTTTTTTATTTTACAAACTAGCATTTACCTGCAATTTTATTCGCAAGGTAGGTTATAAGTACCGTACGTCGCCAAATAGCTTTTATTATTTTAAATAGCCTTTGTGTTAATCCAGAATATAAGCTATCTTCATTTTGAATTTCAAATCAGTTGAGCTATTATAGCGTGAAGAAGTAACAGACACACTCACAAAGTTTTCATTTTCTAATTCAATGGAATTATTTAAGAAATATGTATGTATTTACAAGCTTCCTTTCCTTTAAAAGCTTCCTTTAACTAATGACACAAAAAGAAAAAAAGGCAGGAAAAAAGAAACAAAATAATAATTATTAACATATTATGTAATTTATTTATCTTTAAAAAAAGCGTATTTGACATTTAATATCATACAAGTTAATAGTAAAAAAATAAGAAAAAATTATGGATATATTGCTTTGCAGCATACATTGTTTTTATAGTCTATCAAAACTAAATATTTTTAAATAAAAAAAAATGAATTATTTGTCTTTCTACACGTAACAGCTGCATATGAGATCATTTTATGTTTATTTACTTAAACATAACATTACGTTTAGAATGAGAACTATTTTTTAATTAACATTTCAATCTATAACATTTCTTAATGAACTTTAATTTATATTATTGACAGATTTAAATTGTACTGTAAAGTATGCACTTTCGGTGGTTAAGGCTTAGGGCACTAGCGGTGGATTAGTATTCTATAGGTAATATTATAGGAATATAAGAATTAAATTACAATGAATGTTTACTTGATTCATTAAACAAGCCATTTGGTAATTTTTATGTAGAGTTTTACAGGTTGAACGTTATACAATACCTGTAAAGGAACAAAAACATGGAAGTTCATATCAACCATTGGATTATTATAAAAAAAACTATTAAACAAAAATTAATAAAATATGGGTTTATTATTTTGGAAAAAAATATCTTATACATAACTTAATTTAAAAATATTAATAGGAAGCTTTCAATGTTTTTTCATAGCTGTATTTAGGTTGGGTTCAAGGCTTCAAAGTCTTATACCTCTGCCTAATTACGTATACAATATGCAAAATTAAAACGTTATTGCAAGATCACAGACTAGATTTTACATAAAAATGTTAATTATATTAATGGATATTTATAATTCGGCAAATATTTCAACATCAGTTGTTAAAAATATCCAACTAGATTCCATATTATTAAAAGTGAGCCAAAATAATATTAGAAAATATTGATACCTTTTATTTATATTAGATATACAGTACAGTATACTGATCTACAGCATATAAAAACTACATAATTTTAGGCCTTTGCGTATGATCAAAAAAATGTAATTTTGAGTCTATATTAAAATATCATATTTATTTTAACTATTTCATTCCAAATATCAATAATTTTGTTAGCCTCTAACTAAAATCGCTAATTTCATCCTAAACCTAATTTAGAAGGCAAATTTTATAATAAATATATGATAAGTTGAAGACAACACAATTCTAATTGAATTAATTATTCTTTTCAATATCTTTACTAAAGTAAAGTGTAACTTTCACAAGTTTTATAATCTAAAACTAAATTTTAAGTTTCTTCTAGGTACAATAATATGACAGTGGCTTGAGCCAGAATCGAATTTGCGCTCTAGAAGTCGCTGACCGACCCAATGAATCAGTTAAGTTTTGATTAATTAGAATAGTCTCATTTACCTAAACGCTTAAGTAGTACCAAACCCTATTCTACACTATTATATTAAATTTTATAAATTGTTTTTTTTTTAATAATTTAGTGCATGATATCATTATAAAGGTTTTATATCATTTCTAATTTAAATTAATTTTCTTTGTCGCTCGATGCTGAGTCCGCGTGTTTCTTTAACGTCCAGTAATCTGTAAAAAAAGAAACTAAAATTAGTTATATTTTAGCCAAAAATACTGTAAAGATGTTAGAAGATACTAAAAATATCAAACAAAAATACTAATACTATAAAATGAAAGTTTGTCTGTGTTTTTGTTTGTTACTCTGAACAAATGGATTTGGATGAAATACATAGTCACACATAGATTGTGCTCTGAAGTAACATACCGTAAAACGGGGTGTATAGAAATTGCGGGGTGAATAGAAAAAATACCAGGAAAGTTTTCAAGGCTAATATTTAATTACTTTTCGTTGAAGAATTTTGGTAGAATTTTATATTTTAACATATCAACATTTTTTCTTTGCGTTGGCAACAATTTTTAAATGTCAAAATTGACATTTATCCTTCAAAATATATTCAAAGTGTACCGTCTGTGAACGTGGTATAATCAAGTGCCGAAACTCTTGGTTTTATGTAAGAAAAACTTGTGACTTGTACTAATTAACGTGTTTATCTCATTAGGTGTGCGATACATTATAAAAATACAGTAAAGGTAAGTGAGAATACGTTATTAAACTTAAAAAAAATATTAAAATCACAGTTAGTGTACATTTATTGTCTAAAAGGGGTTAATAGAATCCATTGAAGGGTGAATAGAACTTTAGTATGGGTTTAATGGAAGTCTAGTATGGAATAATAGAAACGATTAATGTGTGAATAGCAATTAATGAGGGGTTAATAGAGATAAATAAATAGGGTTGTCAAAAACTGTTAACAGAACTAAATTTAACTACCTACTTTCATACTTTCTGTATTAATGAATAGTAAGTCCGTATTATTTAGATGAGAGCGGTAGATTTTGTGATTGATAAATAAATAATATTTATGAAGTGATAATTTTCATTTACAGGTACATACCGCCGTAGGTAGATTCAATATGCCGCGTGTATATAAACCCGATCCTACAAGGAAAAGGTATAAAAAATATAGCATAGAAATCATAAAAAAAGCTGTGGAAGAGTATGCATCTTCTCGGAATTTAAAACTAGAAGATGTTGCAAAAAAATATGGCATTCACAAATCGGTGTTGTATCGCCACAGTACCCGGGATATGAAGCAACATGGAGGCCAAAGAGCTTTATCCGACGAAACAGAAATGTTGTTAATAGAGAACATCAATAAATGCGCAGAATGGGGTTATCCCTTAGATACATTGGATCTTAGGTACATAGTCAAGATGTATCTTGATAAGATAGGCATAATCCATAAGAGATTCAAGGACAATTTTCCAGGACCTGATTTTGTGCAGAGCTTTTTATTAAGACACAAAAATGAGATTTCGCAAAGAGTTTGTGAAAATATCAAGCGTGTGAGAGCTAAGTTGTCTCCAGATACGATTAAAGAATATTTTATCGAACTTGCGAAGTCTTTAAATGGAGTACCTGCTTCTAACATATTAAACTACGATGAAACGAATTTAACGGACGACCCCGGGCGGAAGAAAATATTAATCAAGCGGGGATGCAAGTACCCTGAAAGGGTTCTGAACCATACCAAGGCTTCCGTGTCTATTATGATGGCTGGTACCGCAGATGGCAAAATGTTACCACCATATGTGGTATATAAAGCAACTCATTTATATGATTCTTGGATTCAACATGGCCCAGAAGGTACTCGATATAACAGGTCGACATCTGGATGGTTTGATGGAACCACTTTTGAGGATTGGGTGCAAAATATGGTCGTTCCATATTTTAAGGATTTACCAGGCAGAAAGTGCTTAATTGGAGACAATTTGTCTTCACATTTATCAGCAGACTTGATCCAAATATGTAAAACGCATAACATCGATTTTGTGTTTTTACCAGCCAACTCAACTCACCTGACGCAACCACTGGACGTAGCATTTTTTCGTCCCATGAAGCGTGCCTGGAGGCAATTAATATTAAAATGGAAAAAGACAGATGGTCGACAATTACCCACAATTCCAAAAGGTTGTTTTCCAAAACTATTAAAATTGTTAATTGATGAACTTCAAATCAATGCTTCAAAGAATATCATTGCTGGATTTAAGAAAACAGGAATTAGCCCTTTAAATGAACATGAAATATTAGCCAGACTTCCCGGTGAAGACTTAGATGAAAACCATGAAAGTGCTGTAGAAGATTCTGTTGTGACACTCCTCAAAGAAATGAGATATGGTTCTATGAATATTGTAGAGCCAAGAAGAAAGAGAAAACTCAATGTACTTCCAGGTAAAAGTGTCGCTCCAGAGGAAATCGAAGATTATGCAGAAACCGATGTTGATACTAGTATGGCAAATTTAAAAAAAACAAAATACGATACAAGCTATCCATCAGGTTTAAACAATAAAAATAAAGGTAAGGCAAAAAAAAATACAATTACAAAGTTGAAACTAAAACCAATGAAAGAAGAAGAAAATTGCCCTAATAAAATAGAACCTTACAAAGGAAAAGGCAAAGGGAATGGAAAAAAAACTAAAACATCCTATTTGGAAGCAAAAGAAATACAAGAAAAAGAAAATCTCGAGAATAATATAGAAAACAATGAGATTAAAGGAAAAGATATGGAGGGAATAACAAAAAAATCAAGTTTGAAAAGAATAGAAACAGAAGACAAGGACAATAATGATAACAACAAAGAATGGAAAGAAGAGTTTCACAAAAACGAAGAACAAGAAAAATACCGATTAACAAGGCAGGAAAATTACGATTACAACATGAATTACGACAATTATGATAATAATATTGGTCAGGTAAATTACGATAACGTCACGGTTTACGAAAATTATCATAATAATATGGAACAACAAAATTATAACAGTATTACGGAAACGGAAAACTACAATAATATCTTACAAGAATTAAAATGCGAAATACCTAATGATAACATAAACAGTCTGCCCATTCTCTTTTTTGACAGCATATGTGAAGAGCTCACGATCAATACTGAAAAACCTGCTGATGATAATACTATTATGGAGAATAAAGTAAAAATAATATCGAATGAGCTAGTGAATGACGATCAGTATAACAAAAAATACAGATCACCTATTATAAAAAAGTACAAGACTGTAGCGGTAAAAGATCTCATTAAATTGCCAAAGAAAAACCATACAAATAATTACTACAATAATAGTGACAAAATATTAAAAGTTTTAGAAGAGGATGATGACATGTGAAAACTTTGTTATAATAATTGTTAAGTTAAGAATTTTGATTACTTGTACATAGTAAGTAGTTTAGTGTACTTAGTGCGAGTTTTTTTTTCTTTGACGCGATAGTTACTATCAACCGTGTTTGGCGCTCTTATTGGTTGAGAAAACTCACGCTGAGCACACTGGTTCTACAAAGCTATAGCGTAGGCTGAAGTTACCTACCTTGTTACAACTTTGTTATTATAATATCGATAAGTTCAGAAGATTTAGAATTTGGGTTTTTTTAAAGAATATTGATTATTTTTACGCCAGTAGTACTGATTCTACAAAGCCATAACGTAGGCTGAAGTTGATTACCTGTGATATTTGTTATGATGATTAAGTTAAGTTCAAAAGATTTATAGTTGTTTATTTTTCGTCATATATGTATAAACTTAAAATTCAGAAAAACTAAACTTTTAATTCAGAAGGTTGTTTTTTATTTTGTTATTTTATTTAATTTAAATAAAAATACGAATAAGTAGTATCTTGTTTGATTTATCGAAAAGAGATAACATTCCATAAAAATTAAATCGGTTAAAATACAAACATACTTTATTATTTATGTTCATACGCATAAATAGCTTAAATTACAAATTTTGATTTTCAATTAACATTTACAAACCAAAACAATTTTTAAATATACAACCTTATATTTTTGCAATGTTGGATAAGTCATTTTTGGTAGCCCTACCAGTTTTTCCATTCACCCCTTTACGCATTTCTATTGACCCCAATCGTCGGGTGAATAGAAACGGTACATATTTTATTAAAAATCTGGAAAACCTTTGCTTATAGTTAAAAAAATATTGTTTCAGCACTTTCTTTATGGAACCGGGCATGATATAAAATAACCTGAGATTAAAAAAAAAAGTAACAGACAACAAATTCTTAAGACGAAGTTGAAAATCATTGCTATTCACCCCGTTTTACGGTATAGAATACTGTTAGTAATTGAATTTGCCAAAAGATGGCGTTACCTATATAGAAAATAATAAAAACAAAAGGTTTAAGTTAGCAAAAAATTTAAATTTATCTTTTTTTGCATGATAAAATCAAACATAAGTTAATAAAATAAAATTCTCAAGATAATACGATTATATGAACAATAATTACAATAAGAATAAAAATATGTTTTCTTCGAATTTTAACTTATCCGAAATCAGAGAACTTAATAACCTTTGTCATTTGAAGATGTTTACGACGACATAAATAAAGTTAGATGTCGATAAACACTCGTAAAGTTTTACAACCCCGATCGCAATCTGCTGGATTAATTGTTTATCATCATCAATATAACATTATTTAATGTTTTTGCATATATATTTTTTTATTAAATACTCGCGACTCGCTCTCGCTTCGTTCGGGTTCGTTCTTAGTGAATATTTAGGTTTGTATGTATTTTTAATGCCGAATCATAAAAAAAATTAAAATAAAAAAAATTGTCCAAAAATTTTTTTTTTGGAGCGGAACGTTTTATTACTTAGGGGTATGAAAAATAGTTTACGCCCTATTCTCAGACCTACTGAATATACACACAAAATTTCATAACAATCGGTCAAGCCGTTTCGGAAGAGTTTTGTTACAAGCACTGTGACACGAGAATTTTATATATTAGAAAGAAGAAGAAATAGATATAATACACGATATATATATAAAAATAATAGTTGTACAAACATACGACGTACAAGTTGTAACATAAGTCTGACATGCACTGAAATTTCGCCGAAGTAAGCTTTGATATCAATTAAGACTAAATATGGTCAACGGATTGGTCTGATATTTTTTGCTTCAATATAGATAGCCTACTTCGAATAAGAACTTTTTGATCGACTCCAAAAAGAAGAAGTGTAAAAAATAAAACCTTTATGGTATGTTATATATAATTGCAACACCACACACAAATAAATTATATTTAACTTCTATCAACTAAAAGGTAAGATTGTATGAAAATATACTTTTATTAATAATTTTAAAGTACATAAACAGTTCACCTTCTTTCTAAAGCAGTATATTTCTATTATAATTCTAATCATGCGCAACGCAAACTACGAGTACGTATCGAAATGATCGAATAACATGTTACCGATGTAATTTACGCTTGTAAACAAAACTCATCTTTATTATAAAGAAATAAGGTATACCAAAAATTATAAATAAAAAGCTTTACAAAAGTAAACTTAAAGTCCATCTCACTTTGATTAGCCGCAGGTTTTATATTTATCTTTTAAATCGACGCGTTTTCATTTGCACGTATCTATTGTTATTGGATACACCGTGGGTACGAGTTCTTAGTAAATGATGGCAACAATTGAACTTTACATGTGAAATTCTAAGGCTTTTATGAAAGCGCAAAATCAGCGAGATAACTAATCTATTTTATAAGAAATGGGTAAAAGGATCTCAAAGGAAACAGGATCGATGGTGTCGTTTTTCTAAATCAATAACTTTAATAATAAAAACTTTGTTATGCATTGTGCACAGATAAAAAAACTTTTTTGAGTGTATACCTCCTTGTAGTGTCTAAACAGATTATAAAAAAATGTAATAAAAAGACTCAAATAAATAAATACTAGTTTCGTATTATTATAAATTACTTTTATATATTACACAGGATACATTATCGCATGGAAGCAAAAAAATATCAAGATATAGCAATCTTATAGCGGTACAATTTTGAGAGATCATTTACCTATACGCCAGCATTATACAAGCTACGTAACCTTGATTTACTTATTTTTATGTACCACATCATAATAAATAAAAATCACATATGATTATATAAAAGATAACTTATTTCTTTTAAAATAACTCTTCCAGTTTTCTTCGAGTGTGATAAAAAAGAAAGAAAAAATATGAAAGTAAAATGTAAATCTGTTATTATTGTATTTAGCCCTTTTTTAACGTCCCACTGCTGGACACGGTCTCCCTTCAATACGAGGGGGATAAGGCCATAGTCCACCACGCTGGTCAAGTACAGGTTGGCGAACTGCACATGTCTGTTGAAAACTTGATATGTTTTCTTAGACATACAGGATTCCTCGCGATGTTTTCCTTCACCGTAAGTCAAGTGGTAATCATGTTGGAAAAGATTTAGACATGAAAATATCGGAGGTGCGAGACCCGGGATTTGAACCCGCTTCACTCGTTTCCTAAGCATTACCACTGAGCTACCACTGCCTTATATTATTATAACATCTCAAAATATTTATAAACAAAACTAATATGCAAATATATAGACATTCGTTCATACATAAATTTATAAAAGCATAACATGAAAATTAGGTCTGAATACTCTATATATACATAGATTTACTGTAAACAAGTTTTAAAGAGTATAAGCCAAGAATAAATCATTTAAAATCTTATCAGGAAAATTCTATGTGACTCATGATTGATAAGTGAGATGAGGAGGTAGCCTAGCCCTATGATGCAATCAATATCATTGCTTCAATTTCATCAAAATCTGCTTAGTGGTTTAAGCATGAAAAGCTGACAGATAGAGGACAGACTAATTTATAATTTAGGCGTATGGATTACTAGAGGATATAAACTTACATCAACTAAAGATGATGCTATAGACTTCAAAGCTCAGGCCAATACTTTTTTATTGGTCTGAGCTTCAAAGTGGCTTAAATTATAAATGTAATTTTCCACCCTTGGATGCAATTTCATTTTTAACTTTATATGAGACAACAAATTTATTAAAAAAAGTAGTATAAAAATAGATCTATAATAATTGGATCAGATAGAACCTATAAAAGAATGGAGTGCCTCGTTTTTTTTTGAAGTTGGTCAACAAATTATCTTGTGACTTATCATATAGAATAAAGGGTATAATTAAGTATAATATAAATTACTAACTTAGAAATTAAAAATGTGAAGAGTTTATGATAAACATAAAATGTGTAATGAGAACGTATATGGAAAAACAAGGGTTAATAATAACTATAATTAATCATAGTTTTGAGTCATAACGAGATGTATGTATACAAATGTAGACGATACATATCTGCTATAATAATAAGCAAATATAGCACATAATATCTTAAATATCAGTACTTTGTCTTATAATATAGTTATATGCATATTTTCTACAAAATCCAATAACATATTTAAATAAAAACATCCGGAATAGACGGACAAACGCAAGTTTATGTATATTAAAAAAAACAATTGCAAGCTCTATTTGATTAAGTATCTAACCGGGTTAGAGGGAGACGGCGCAAACCAGTTCTGCCTGTCTCATAAGAAAAAAGGAAAGAAAAAATAACATGGACGTATTTTATAGTGGTCGCTACCTGAGTTACGCGGTAACATTGTTGGTAAAGCTTTTTTCTTGGTGTGGTTTACCGATTTTGTTTGTTCCTTTTTGAAATTGAATTTCGGACTGTTTGTCTGTCATGATTTTTAATTTTCAACCTTTATTGTGGCTGTAAACTACCTGCCGTACATTGACTTCATTCTACAGGCTTATTTATATTTTTACTGGCATTTTTACATTGATCGGAAATGAGCTTAAATTGAGCAAATAATAGTTATTTATTAATAATGAATAATAGAAAGCTTTGATTTGTGATAATAATACTTAGTCTATGCGTATAATAAAATTGTAACTAAGGCGAATCTGTACATTAAATACTTTTAGAAAATCTTATTGAAATGGACATTATTATCGATATAGAGGCCGAATCTATAGGTTTTAGAATTTTTGTCTGTCTGTGTATCTGCCTGTGATCGCATCACGAAAAAACCACTGGAGGGATTTTGATGAAATTTGTTATAATGATAGCTGGTTATCCGGGTAACATATAGGCTTTTTACTGCGGGAAAATATCTCATCTATGAGAACTAACTAAACGTTAAAACGTAAGTAGGGACAGACCCGAGTGGAGCGAGGGTGAGTCGCTAGTTAATAATAAATATTTGAATTTAGCTAACCCTAATTATAACTAATAATTAATTTAAATAATAAAAGCTTG